CAAGGTGTTTCTAGCCAAGGGTAACATCCCTGCCGAGAGCTACACCTTCTTCATTGACATCCTACTTGACACTATCAGGTGCGTGGGGGGCCAGGACCCTGTGGGGTTTGGAAAGAGATTGGACTCAGGAGTCAGACAGCCCTGAGTTTGAATCTGTTTCTGGCCACTTGTGATTTGGGTAGGCTGGGTCTGTTTCTTTTTTTTTTTTTTTCCTTTTTGTCTTTTTTCGTGTCCGGCAACAGATTGCAACCCTCAGTGTCGCGCCCCGGCAACGGGATCGCAACCCTCGGCGTTGCTCCCACACCTCGCTCAGCCAGTGAGCGGGAACCGGTCCGTATGTGGGATCCGAACCCTCGGCGGGAGCGCCACTGCACTCTCAAGCGGCGCACTGTAGCAGTGCGCCACCGGGCCGGCCCTGGGTCTGTTTCTTATCCTCCTAGCACCTCAGTTCTTTTCTGTGACCTAGAACTGGTCATGAGATGATAGGTAAGAGCCCTTATCTTGCTCTGGGTTATTTACATGTGTGGCCATATGTGTCAGACCTGACCATGGGCTTGGTGCCCAGACAGCAGTCAGTGGACAGGAACTGTGATATCTCTCAGAATGCTCCGGCCCACCTCCCGTCCCAGATACTCATCCAGCATGTCACGTGACCTCACCTCAGATCACATAAACTTTATTGCCCCTTCTCTAGAATGGGACCACCAAGTCTCAGCAGCCCTTCAGATTGTGTGTGCACAAGTGACATCATGGGCAGGTGGGCATGATATAGAATTCCTTGTGGAGTAAAAGGGTATGGAAGTGGTGATGGAGCTGATACACTCAGGCAAAGTGCCAGATTGAAATGGGTTTCCATTCCTTGGGTGGCAAAGGCAAGCCTAGAGACTTGGCAGGAATGAGGAGGGTAGCTTAGTGGGTATAGGTTATTTTTTATTATGAAATATTTTAGCTCTCCAAAATGAACAGGGAGTTAATATAATGAGTACTCACATACTTACCATCTGGCCTAAAAGAATATCTCAGAAATGGATGCACTGCTCCCTGTCACTATTTTTTCCCCACAGCTAACTCCTTCCCCTATTCCAGACTTGATGCCTTGCTGGGTTTTTTTACTTTAATGGTGTTCATTATGCCTCTTGATGGGTACAAGGAACTCCTCAGGATCTATGAAGTGGGGTGCAGTGCCCTTGTGAGGGCAGTGTTATGTGAAGAGATCCCCGCATGTGAATTCCAAACTGGCTTTCATACAGCCTGAAATCCTTGTGGCTGGGAGTGGGATTCAAAGTTTGCGCTCAGTAGTGAGAGAAATCTAGGCATAGATCTCCCTGTGGCCCTTGCTCGCTTTGTAACTCTGATCAAATTACTCCCCCCCTCTCTCAGCCTTGATCAGTAAAACAGGGCATGTAACATATTCCCAGTCATCAGTGCTGAACTGAAGGATCAGAGCTGACATGTGTCAGGCATGGAAGGTTGTCTTTGCTTAATAATGAGAACCTCATCATCTTCCCCCAGGGATGAGATTGCTGGGTGCATTGAGAAGGCTTATGAGAAAATTCTTTTCACTGAGGCCACCCGGATCCTCTTCTTCAACACACCCAAAAAGATGACGGACTACGCCAAGAAGGTGTCTGGGGTGCAGGGCAAGGGGCTGTGGGGCCAAGGTGTGCACTCACTAATAGCAATGTGATGTGGTCTAGAGAGACACTCGGACAAGATTGCCCAGGTTTAAATCCAGCTGTGTGCCCTTAGGCAGGTCGCCAAACCTCTCTGAGCTTCAGTTTGCCTGTCTGTAGAATGGGGCTTATCACACATAGGATGAGCATAGTACCTGACACCTGGTGGAGGTAGGCGCTCCACACATTGGCTGCTGTCCTTATCACAACTCCTTAGAGGTGGCAGCTTTTCCTCTGAGACTTTGCATCATTTGGTCTGGGGCCTTTGCGCAGAAGCAATGCTCCCACAGACACTGATGAATGCTGTGTAGTGACCCTGGTGTCCCAGGAAGCAGGAGGAGGGTCAAGAACACCCTGTAGAAGTGGTGAAATTGATTTTGAGTGATGGCAACAGTTGATACTGATTGATCACTTACTCCGGGCCGAACACTATTCTCGGTGCTTTAGATGTGTAAATTCAGGGCCAGCCCGTGGCTCACTTGAGAGAGTGCGGTGCTGATAACACCAAGGCCACAGGTTTGGATC